TAGAGTTGACAGATTTAGCAAATAAAATACAGAGTAACCAGTTAATTAAATTTCATATAACAAAAATATAATTTTACTATATGTTTCAAATATTGCGTGGACATGCTTAAGACTAATTTTCCTAGAATTATAATGAACCTCCAGTTTTAGGATCAAGAAGATTTAGAAGCAGAATATAGGAGCAAAAGTGGGAAAATTCTTGGAATTTTATATGGAAACTTATAGAAGAGCTTTGCAACTACAAATGCTGGCAAGAAAGGCAGCTAAGTCAAACCAAATACCCTTTGGAGAGGGTCACATCTTTTGGTCAAGGTATGCTGAATCTGTGCCTCTCTCTGGTGAAATATGAGTGCCGTGATATTCCAAAGTGGTTATGGAAATTAATTTACTTAAAGAACTTAAAGCTATGATTAATGTATACAAGGACATTAAAAAATAAATATCTGGCCTTATTGTCTTCAGGAGCAGGAAAGAACCAAGTGTGGACACCAGGAGAAACCCCATGTCAAAAAAAGGAATCCACAAGGCCACAACAATAGTTATCTACCTTATGCAAATTTCCATAACTGCTCAATGTTGCCTTCAGGGCCAAGCCAAGTAAACAGGGCAATAAAAGAGTGAGGAAAAAAATGGGTAACATTAGGCACAGAGGACTTGGAAATGCGGGGGACTGTGACTGCAATGTGCACCTGAGAGATGTAAACAGGTGTGCATGTCATTCCCATGCACACTTTGATCACTAAGCAGTGTATGATGCTTGGTTCTGTTAAGATACTTATTTGTTCCAAGATGGTAATTGATTGATAAAACTTTAATTTGGCAAAACTTTGGTTTTTCAATAGAGTCACTCTTTCCTAAAAGAGGAGAAGTTATCATGTACCCAAAGTGGGACTTATTCAACTGAGTTCTTCTAATTCTCCTTAGATAAACTTGACTAGAGCTAGAAATAGGACCATGAAAGCTAAGTCAAGGTGTTCAGTGAAAGAAAGCCTGCAGGTTTTGCATAAAGGGCATGAAAAGGGAGAATGTGAAAGAAAGTAAGGTTACAGTCTGGTGCTTTAACCTTTGCAACCTAAGTACTGCTCACACCAAACCTGTGCTTTTTCTCTGGCATTGTGCCATGAATTACTCATTCATCATTTATTCACTTAACATAATTTACAAAGATAACTTATTTTCCACATAGCATGAATCATGCACACACAGTCACACACATAATTTTTTGACTTTATCCTTCTATTCATGATAATAGGCATTGCTAAAATGACATAAATAAGCATCACGGTCCACCAATTAATACCAGGATGGACTAGCATGGGCTGTTCATGAGCAGGTACCCTTTCTTAGTGGCACAATTTGGACAGGAGTTTAAAGAATATTGGCCAAAGAAGGATCCACTGCTTTGGCTTCACACTATCAAAGAATGTGATTGTTCTCTGCATATGAGTGTGGCCATGATTTGTTGTATGCGATGTTAACTTTGCTTAGTCTAAAGGACATTTGAGTAGATGGCACCCAGTTTTATCAATCACTAATTTATTCTGTCCCATTGGACCATACATTGTATTGACCACTAATGGGAAAACTGAATTTGGATAAGAATAAAATTTTGGCAGTAGATGCCATCAAAGCAGCAGAGGAAAGAGGAAACCAATTATTATATTTATTTTGCTACTTCCCCAAGTACAGCAGTGGAGAATAGCTTTATCTCACCCACTGTACTAATTTGGTAGGACTGGCTGTGACAAAGAATAGCAGACTGTGTGGTTTAAAGAACAGTAAATTTACTGTCTCAAGTTCTGGAGGCTGGAGCTAGATCAAGGCATTGGTCAGCAAGGCTGGTTTCTTCTGAGGTCCATGAAGGTGGGTCTATTTCATCCTTCTCTCATCACTCTGGTGATTGCTAGCAATCTTTTACACTCCTTGGCTTGTATATATCTTGCTTTCATGTTCATGAGCTGTTCTTGTTCATGTCTGTCTCAAATTTCCCCTTTCTATAAGGAACCCGTCATATTGGATTAAGCTTCCCTAATGACTTCATCTTACCTTGATCAACACTATAAAGACCATATATCCAAATAAAGTAATATTCTGAGGTACTGGGATGAGGACTTGAACATATAAATTATGGGAGACACAATTCAACCATAACACCTGCTACAGCTGGCTGATTTGTAGGAACAGCTGCCTGGAGCACCATCTAGAGAAGGCTTCACTGGCTATGCCTAACATAAGCAGATTAGAATGTGGTGCTTGATTGGTGATGTCTACCATGGGACCAAAGGTGTTGTTTTGAATATATGTGATGTATGTGGTGATTGATTAGTGATGTCTACCATTAAGACAGATGTAGTGGTTTTTTTGATGTATGTGACACTATGGACTATCATATCACTAGTGAAAGGGAAAGTAGTGAAGGAATTAACATGGTAAATAATCAAATCAGCCCAGTTTATTTTCATCTTATATTGGAGTTGACTTCCTCTGCTGTTTTTTTTTTTTTTTTTTATTAAAGAGATCAAAGTAGTGCTTTGTTGGCCAGGCTGGATTAAACTCCTGGGGTCAAGGGATCCTTCTTTCTCAGCCCCTCAAGTAGCTGGAACTACAGGCACATGACACCATGCCCAGCTAGGAGGTGACTTCTTGTTATGTAACAAACATGAGCTGTCATCCTTGATTCCAGGACTGTATATTAGAGATATAAAACCAAGTATATAAAGCAGAAAGAACACTATCTCTTGGTGTTGGGATATAATTTGGGCTCTGGAAACAGACACATCTGTGAATCCTGCCTCTGCCATTACTAGTTATGTGATCTCTGGAAAAATTAAATTTATCTTGGAGACTGGTCTATGAAAGGAGACTAACACGAGGTAGCTGATTCAATGGCACAACCCACTTGAAACTCTTAGCATGCAGGCTGCGCATGTGATAACCAATGCTCAGGAATGATTAAACTGCTATTTTCATTCCACAAAAGTACCCTTGTCTGTCTCTCTGTCCTCACTAGAAAACATATACACATAACCCATAACAGGAGCTCAAAAGTTATAGGTGCTAAATAAATAAGATTGGAGAATATTTGCAAAAGAAATATCATGCACACACCCCTTAAAGCAAGCAAACAAATAACAAAAAATAACAACAACAGAGCTCTTAATAGAGATGTCATTCATGAAATAAGTTGAAGTTTGATTTAAAAAAAAAAACACTATATCGCAATGGCCATTATATAGAAGCCTAAGAGAACAATGGGAAGTAACAGTGAAAGAAAAGTCAGCAGAATCAATGGTGCACAAAGGAAGAAACAAGTACTGAATAAATGAGAGCTGGCTTGAGGGAGAGCAGCTCTAACAAAGATTGTTGGCTCTGCCTGAAGGAACGATCCATGAGGCTGTTCAACGTGAAGCAAAGGCAGCTACAAGGGGTCCAAGCACATTGGGGAAAAGAAGGTACTTTTCACGATGGAACACACTGATTGATATTTTCCCTTCACATTTTCTTGCAATTGGATGGCCATGGCCTGGGCCACTATTTACAAAGGCACACAGAAAACTTTAAAATATGTTCAATCTGGGAATGTTTCTTTCTTTGTTCAGAATGAGAAGGATAAGTACTTTGACAGCAAAGGTGAGGGGGCAGGAATGATTCAGCACAGCCTCATGCACAAGAGAATTTCAGATTGGCAGCATCCCAACCCTTCAATCACTCTAGAACTGGTAAACTTTTTCTTTACTAAAATCCTTGGTTAATGCCACTGATTTATGACATATCCCCTCTACTGAACATGAAAAAAAGAAGAAGAAAAAAAAGTGATGCTTGAACGTCTGATGCTAAGTTCAACCAATGCATCTCTTTACCATTCCCTGATTTCCCTTGTGTTTTTTTATAGGTTGGAGGGAATGACACTCTGTATGTTTAGGGCAGAGTCTTCTGCTAAAGGTCAGGTTTTTAATTTCGCAGTGTTCAGCCTGGCCGCTCTGCTGTGTAAACTTTGACTAAGCACAGTGTATGTTGTTGTTGTTGAAAATATATTGCTCATGGATATATATAATGCAGAAAATTCCCGTGTAAGTTTCTCTATAGCTTGAAGTGTTGAAACTGTAGCCAGTTTATCAAAAACACAGCTGCCTTCCTTGGGGTTTCCGAAGGCTCATAACAATTTTTTTCTTTATGAACTTGTGAGAACACCCTGAGGAAAACAGCTGCGTTATTGCAGAGATGAAGAAATCTCAGATGAGTGTGAAGTATTGTAATTTAAATAAGAGCGCTATTTTCAGGCCTTTTCATTTTAAGATCATTTCATTATTTTATTTTTCCCTAAATAAGTTATCCAGGAAAAATAAGAGAGCAATTACTCTAGGGACTACAGGCAGTGTAGCAGGCAAATTAAGGGTTTTAATTGAGAATATCAAATGTTGTACTACATGATTAATAGAGATGCGGTACCAGTATTTACATATGTGCAATATTTACCATATTCACTTTGTTCTGATTAAATATGAAGCCAAAAGCAAATGAAAAATAACAGATTTTGTTCATTTTCTTTATTTTCTTCAAAGGTGGTGTCTGTTTCAGCCACTTATGACACGCATGACAATGTTAGTTTTTTTTCTTATAGTGCTGTTTATAGCCGTACAAATTGTATAAATAAATACTATATAAGCATACTACTGTTCACAGAACAAATGATACATTCTGGCAGCTTCTATGTTAGAAAATTATTAACTAAGAAACTACTTCAAATTGAGTTGTCTATGGAACAAGACTTAATCAGACCAGCCAGAAAATTTACTTGATGAAGCTATCCATGCCCAATGAGTGCTTTGGGGAAAAAAATAAAATAAATAAATAAATATATATATGTGTGTGTGTGTGTGTGTTGCACGTTTTTTATTTACAAATTTAAGTGCTAATGTTTATACCTTGAAACTTAATAAGTTAGTTCATTTACATTTTTATTCAATAAATATTTGGGGTAAAGAAGACAGAAATCCAACTCAAATTGGTTATTTTTTAATGTATTTTGTTAACGTAACTAAAAATTGTATGTACAGATACAGCTTGAGAAACTTTGAATCCAGGAACCAAAAATTGTTGCCAAATTCTTTCCTAATTCATTCTCTCTCAATCTCTCTCTCTCTCTCTCTCTCTCTCTCTCTCTCTCTCTCTGTCTCCTTCTCTTGCTTTCATTTCTTCTTCTATTTTTATCTTGGCCTTTTTTTCTCTCCTGCAAACAAGTTATTTCAAGTGATTATGATTTTAAAAGCCACAGGTAACTTCCGCATACTTTTATCATGAAGGAAGAGTTCCTACCTCTTTCCCTACTTCTATATATCAAATCTCAAGTATCTGACAAGTCTCTAATTGCCTTTGCTTGGGGCAGATGCCAACTGTTCACCAATTACCATGTCCAGGGAGATGGGTTATTCTGCTTACTCAAGTCCCTACCTGTGTTTTCACAGCTAACTGGAGGGAAAAGCAGGAAGGAAGAGCCATGCCCCTCTGAACCATATAGAATGTGGGAAAGAAGGACTCTCAGAAAAGGAGAAAGGAGTGCTGGAGAGAAAAATGCTGTTTGGTATTGTTGACAATGACAATGATGTCATTATAAGCGGAGAAGGAGGAACCGAAGAAAATGAAGAGGAAGAAGGAGAAGGAGGCAGAGGGAGAGGAGAAAATTAGGAGGAGGAGGAAAAGGAACTGTTGCTGATATACTTGTCTGATCGACATTCAGAAGCACATAGCTCAAGAACAAGCACATATACATAAGTAAAAAGAAAGGGGATGCTAAAAGCTCTGCTGTGAATCGGTGGCTTTGCAACGTGCCTGCCTGGTGGGAGCATTTCTTAACTCTGTATTTGGCCATGCAGCCATGGAATGAATGCTTCACAGTTAGAGGGGCTGGGTGTTTTTTCCCTGATTTAGTCATATTCACACAAATATAACTTTAATAAAACAAATTTAAAGCCCCAAAGTTTTCACTGGAAAATATCACACCGTTTAAAATGTAGAAGGTCCCACTTTGACACCATTTTTCTCTCCTCCACCGTCCTCATCATCATGTGTGTCACTTACTGAATGCATGCTGAGTGCTGGACACTGTACTTAGCACTACACTTGCAGTATCTCATTTAATCCTGAAAATAATCCTGTGTTATAAGCATAAGAGTATTATATCCTGTTTACAGACAAGGAAACTGAAGTTTAGAAAGATTAGGTAATTAATTTCATGGTCTAACGTGATACAAATGCATTTTAAAAACTCAGTTTCCCCAAGGAAAACAAAATAACAAACCAACCAAAAAAATCAAACAAGCAAACAAAAACTTCCCAGGGACATTCTTACAGTCTTTTAGATCCAGTACATAAAAAGAAATTACATATCTCTTTAATCACATCTGTTTCTGATATTGTGGTAACTTCACTCAGCTTCCTGAACTTTCTTATCTAAATTGTTTTTTATTCTGTTCTATTCTTTACTTTCTGTTCCATAATGCACAAAACTATGCTGTCCTCTAAAACTACAGAGAAAGGAAAGCCCTCATACTCTCTCACCTCCCAAAGCTAATTCCATGTTCAGGGAATGTTATGACTTCTGTGAAAACACGATCCAGACAGTACAAAGATTTAATGAAAATCTATGGAATTTGCATCCAAAAGAATCTATATGGAGATCAGGAAGGTGAGGATCAGAGATAAAGCAACTTGTCAAAAACTGTACATGTATCACAGTTAATTGAACTACCTGACCTAGAGCTTAGGTCTCTGGACTTCCCATGTTCTGCTATATGTAAAGTACTCACCCTTGCAAAATAGTACATAGAGCATTTACATGTATTTTTCATAACAATAATAGAATAAGCATCCATGTAGTTACCACCTAGGTTAATAAATAGCCCCCTGTGTGTACCTCCTCCATCAAATTTTCTACAATACTTCCCCAGAGGTAAGCATTATCCTGAATTTTAGATTATTTGCTGATATTATAATTTCATCATCTATATAAATCTCTAAACAATATATTGCTTATTGTTTAGATTTAAATATATGTTTGTGTGTATATATACATAATATATATAAATGGAAACACTGTGTGCTACCTTCTGTGACATGATTCTTTACCTAAACATATATAATGTTTAGAGTTTTATTCATATTGAGGCACATATCATTTGTTAGGATAGACACTAAACTACAATAACAAAAAAAATTAAAGTGGCTTAAGTAAGACAAAGTAACTTCCCTTTCATGTTTGAGGATGGCATTGCAAGTGGGAGGCTGATTCTACTCTTCACGGTTATGCAGGACTCAGAGTCTATCCACCTAGGTGCTGCATCTCCCCCAAGACCAATGGCTACGCCTGCCTGGCCAAAGCTGAGTTCTAGGCATGTTCATATTTCATCCCAAGGAAGAGAAAGGAAAGAAGTCTAGACCAGGAAATTTGAGGATCGCATTATAAAAATAACCTTAAAGAAATACATGTCATTTTTACTCACAATTCTTTGACAGGAACTTGGTTGTACAGATGGGCTTAGCTTCATTGGAGGCTGGGAAACAGAGTCTCTAGCTGGAAAGCATGTGCCTAGGATTTGGGGGAACAGTTTGTTAAATTTCACTCATGTATAGTATTTTCATATATAAATGTAAGCACTATTTGTGTCATGTGGCATTTGAATTTATTTTATCATGTTGCTACATACAGTCCCTTTGTTCTCATTTTCCCCCATTCTTCATTGCTTTATCTCAAAACAATTGAAAGGTCTTGTTTGTTTTGTTTTGTTTGCTTTTTCATTTTCTAATTCCGTTTCCCCCTCCTCACTATCACATGTTTGGAAGTTGTATGTTCTCTGCCTAATAATGTAGTGGTTATCAAAGCTATTTTAACAAAAATACTCATTGAGATCCAAAGATGCATTTTTTTTACACTCCTCCTGAAATTAGAAGGCCTTTAGTTGCTTTTGGCTTACATACTACTGTACTCCAATAATTTAAAGAAGTCCTAAACTTCTATCCAAAACATGAAATATTATGTTTCATAGCTTTAGGCGATCAACATTGTTTAGTTGTACACAGCTATTTGCCGATATCTAGGTCCATCATTCCTTCTTACATCTCAGACTTTCTACCTTACATCATTGTTTTCTACTTTAAATATAAATACCTTAGAAATGGTGTATTGGTTGTAATGGTGTATTGGTCTCAGATTATGCTTATTTGACATGTTTTTATTTTACCCTAAATTTGGAAAGATAGCTTCACTAGGTATAGAATCATAGGCAGAGAATTTTTTTTTTTTTTTTTTTTTTTTTTTTTTTTGAGACAGGATTTTGCTCTGTCACTCTGACTGGAATGCATTAGAGGGATCATAGCTCACTATAATCTTGAACTCCTGGGCTCCAGTAATCCTTCTTCCTCAGCCTCCTTTGTAGGGGGCACTATAGGCATGTGCCACCATGCCCAGCTAATTTTTAAATTTTTTGGTTAAGAGATAGGGTCATGCCGCGGTGGCTCACGCCTGTAATCCTAGCACTCTGGGAGCTGAGGCGGCGATATGCTTGAGGTCAGGGTTCGAAACCAGCCTGAGCAAGAGCGAGACCCCCTCTACTATAAATAGAAAAAATTAATTGGCCAACTAATATTATATAAAATTAGCCGGCATGGTGGCGCATGCCTGTAGTCCCAGCTACTTGGAGGCTGGGCAGCAGGATTGCTTGAGCCAGGTTTGAGGTTGCTGTGAGCTAGGCTGACGCCACGGCACTCACTCTAGCCTGGGCAACAAGCGAGACTCTGTCTCAAAAAAAAAAAAAAAAAAAAAGAGATAGGGTCTTGCTATGTTGTTCAGGCTTGTTCCAACTCCTGGCCTCAAGGGATCCTTCCGCCTTGGCTTCACAATGTGCTGAGATTATAGGCATGAGCCACCATGCCTGGCCAAGTTTTTCTCTTCATTGTCTCTTTTGGCCTCTATTGTTGTCATGAAGAAGTCAACTATCCATCTAATCTCTTCTCCTTATAATTAGATCTTTCTCTTTAGCTGCTCTTAAGATCTCTTTATCATTGGGCTCTTTTGTTTCTCCTATTTGGATGTAGACTTCGTTTTGTTTGTTTGGTTTTTTCATTAGATGTAATAGGCTTCCTATATCTTCAGTTGGTCTCTTTCAACACATCAAACCATTACATATTAAAATATTTTCTCTATTCCATTCTATCTTGTCTGAAATTTCAGTTAGGCAAATATTAAACTTTCTTAATCTATCATATTTTAACATCGCTTTCATATTTTTTTTTCATTTTTCATCTGTCTGGATTGCTTTTTGAATAATTGATTTGGATTTGTCTTCCAACACACTAATTCCTTCTTTATCTAGTTTAAGTAGTTGTTTAATTCATCCTTCAAGGTTGTTTTTTTTTTTTTTTTGAGACAGAGTCTTGCTTTGTTGCCAGGCTTGAGGAGTGCCATGGTGTCAGCTGGCTCACAGCAACCTCACTCCTGGCTCAAACAATCCTGCTGCCTCAGCCTCCTGAGTAGCTGGGACTACAGGCATGCACCACCATGCCCGGCTATTTTTCTTATAAATTAGTTAGACCAATTAATTCTTCTCTTTTTAGTAGAGACGGGGCGCACTCTTGCTCAGGCTGATGAACTGCGCTGATGTCTCACTCTTGCTCAGGCTGATTTCGAACTCCTGACCTTGAGCAATCCACGCCTCTACCTCCCAGAGTGCTAGAATTACAGGGGTGAGCCACCATGCCCGGCCAAGGTTTTAATATCAATCTTTATTGTGATTCTAATGTTTAGAAGTTCTATTTGGTTCCTATTCAAATCTTTTTGTTTATTTCCTATAGTTTAATATATTCTACTCATATTTTCAAGCTCTATTTTATTTAAGCATATGAAACATTTATTTTATAGCTGTTAATTCTGATATTTGAGCACATTATAGGTTTTTACAAAATCAAGACACTTCTAATATTCAGCTCTTGTGCTATCTCTTTTTTCTGCTGGTTCTCACGGATGAGTGTGTGTGCGTGTGTGTGTGTGTGTGTGTGTGTGTGTGTATGTGTGTTTGCACATGCTCACACTTTTTGATACAAATTTGTCAGTGGAGATTTCTTGAAGTCTAGTTTAAAATTGAGCTCCTCCAGGGGGAATTTGGATTTATTTCTCCCATTTCCCTGATTGGAGAGGGAGAAAGGTAAAATAAAGTGGGGTTATTTTAAATTAAATTAGCCCTTCTTTTTTCAGATCATACATGTAACATGACCAAAAAAGTGCATGAGGCCTGGCTTTTGGCTATACATTCTTGGTGACATTCCCCGCACAACCCCCGCACCCCAGCATCAAGTTTGAGAAGGCCAAATTTCTTTGCTAGGTCTGTCTGAAAGGCAGGGTTTATATTCCATTTATACTTAAGCCTTATTCACAGATCTCCTATTAAATTCCCCCACTTAGTGGGCTTATAATTTATTTTCTATACCTTGTACCCCCTGCAGCAATCAAAGTTGAAATTTTCAAAGTCCCAGTGTTCACCAGAGAGACCTTCAAGGTAAAACCCAGCTTTGGTGCTTGTTTATATTCCAGGATCCTACTTTTCTCTGTGTTTAAAATCTGTGCATTTAGTTCATTCATGACTTCTCAGAGATACAGGGTTTTTTTTTTTTTTCATATGTTACACAGAATTTTAGCATTTTAAGGTACGCAAGTTCTTCAAGATATTTAACTTGTCACAATGCTAGAAAGGTAAGTTGACTCTATTATTTTCTTTCTAAGGTGCCTCTAAGGTTGCAATTTTACATTTTTAAAAAAATGGCTCTTGTAAAACAGGAGTGACCATAACACATTCCTGAGGAAACACAAAAACATCACAAAAAAATATCCTTGCTTCCAACTGACCTGCTACCCCTCCTTGCTGTGCTTTCACATAGCTAAAGTAAATCCACAAAATACAAATGGCACTTCTTGAACACAAAGATGGAAGATAGCTCTGTACTAAGCTTGCATTCAGAATACACCTTCTCTATCTGTGGCAAATAAAATCAGACACACTGATTATTCCAACTTTTAAGATATTCGGAAGATATATAGTACTAATCAAGTTTTTTTTTGCCAATCTTTTCTCCATATCTTTCATGTTTTCCAAATTATTTTATCTTTGGACTCTATTATCTGAAAAATGTCATTACATTTATCTAAATATTTATTTCATAATGACTGTTGGGATAATTTTTAAAAATATATATAACTGAGTGTTCATAATCATCCTAATGATGTGACATGTCACATGCAGTTTCATTATGTTATTTATTCATGTGTAATTGACATAATTCCCAGTGTTACTCAGACCTCTTGGATCTAGAAAAGATTTTCTGGAATCCTCCTGTCTACATCCTATAAAAATTCCAATGCCTTGCCCAAGTGCCAGTGCTGAAAAAAAGAAAATTGAGTTTATCTCCATTCTTTGACCAATCTCTTCACCTCTTACCTTCTTCCCCATGGGATCTTGGTGAGAGAAGACAATACATTTGGGAACCAGGACATTAAGGATTCCCTTCTGCTCAGAGAGGTACTAATGGAATGAAATAGTAAAGTACATGTTTCAAAGAAAATGAGGTAGACATGGACTGAGCAAGAGTTATACTTTCAAGACTGATTTGGAACTAGAACCCAGATGCTTGTTCCTAGTTTTTATTCATCCATTACCTCATGAGGCCCGTATAATCCAGTATTTCCATTTGCAACAAAGGTAAAGAAGGAGGAAAAAGAAAAGGAGGGGGAAAAAAGCAGCAGTTATGACCAAACTTCAAATAAAACTGTGATTTAATACCTGGAAATTTTTAGTCATCAGAAATTGGTGAGCAAATTATTTTGCCCTTTAAAACTCACCATCTATGCAGGTACTGGCTGCTTCTTTTTCTACCTAGGACTGACCCTGGGGGAATAGAGAAGGGAGAAATGCTGTTGCCACAGTTTATAGTATCCTGCTCTTCTAACTCATGTAGAACATAGTCTATACATTCCATTTTATTTTTGGCCAAGTCAGTGAGTGTCCTTAGTAAGTGGAATTCTATAAACTTTTCCAATTTCAGCAGTAGCTATTTGGAAAAACACAGTACCAGCATCTTTTGTAAGATCTGGCTCTAGCCTTCTTTCCTTCTTTATAGTTTTATTTGCCATTCATTAGGCTCAGCTGCCTATGTCCTAGCCAAAATGAAACTCTAAATACTAGTTTACTCATCTTAGAACACCCTCTTCTTCTCTGCCATCTTTGCTGGTCATTTAAAGCCCAGAACTAATATCACTAGGCTTTATGAATGAATAAGAAGTGACAAATAGTGGATCACCTAATAGGTGGTATTTGTATGGGAAGAATGATTTTCACTTCCAGAATTCTAACACTTGATTGAAATTTCTCCATAGCATGTAAAACTGTTTACTTGTATTGTTATTGTGAACTTATTGCTTATCATCTCTACTAGACTAGGTGGATATAATGGGATATAAAATATGAGCATTATCTTAATAACTTATTTCTAAGGCATAATTTCTGAATACCAATAAATGGCTAGTTCTACTGGGATGGATTAAGGCTTTGAGAGAAGCTCAGCATGTGAACCTCTCTGCGGCCCTGTGGTATATTCTATTCAAAGTCTTCAGGCCCAATGAACATGAAATCTACCTCAAGTGTCACCTGATCCTTCCTGTCATCTCTGTCATTTTTGGATTTTTTTTCTTTTTGAGACAGAGTCTCGCTTTGTTGCCCAGGCTAGAGTGAGTGCCATGGCCTCAGCCTAGCTCACAGCAACCTCAAACTCCTGGGCTCAAGCAATCCTCCTGCCTCAGCCTCCCAAGTAGCTGGGACTACAGGCATGCGCCACCATGCCCGGCTCATTTTTTGTGTATATATATTTTAGTTGGCCAATTAATTTCTTTCTATTTATAGTAGAGACAGGGTCTCGCTCTTGCTCAGGCTGATTTTGGACTCCTGACCTTGAGTAATCCTCCTGCCTCAGCCTCCCAGAGTGCTAGGATTACAGGTGTGAGCCACCGCGCCCCGCCTCTTTTGGATTTTTAACTGACAATATGGCTGCCCAGAATGAAGATTACATATCCCAGCTTCCCTTGCAAAAAGTGTGCCATGTGACTGCATTCTGACCAATGGCAAGTGAACAGAAAAGCAGTGTGGGTCTTCTGGGCCATGTCTTTAAAATGAAGGTGTGTGCCTTCCCCTTGTTCTTTGCTCCTTACAATGGCTGGGATCCAGACACATGCCGACCGCAAGTGAGGAGCACCAGAAAGGAACGTGGACTTCTGAGAGCTGTGTACTACACCAGAACTTCCATATCAGCCTCAATTTTAAGAAGAGCAATAAAGTAATCTTTATCCTACTTAAGTTATTGTAAATTTCTTTTTTCTTACAGGACCCAGTCTTATAGCCAAGCTAATACAGTCCCTCAGAGACTGAGCCACAGACAACTTTTCCTCAAACAAAAGCCTGTGATTATATGCATGTGGATGTAGGACTACTCTGGAGGCCTCCCTTCACTTCAGGGTCTTTCATGTGACACTGTCACCCTGGGGCTCTGGGGACAGTGGTCCTTTCATCCCCTAACCAGTTCCTGAATGAGTGAATTTTCTTATTAGGGAACTTTGGTGTTACATTACATTACAAAAGGCCATTTAAAAAATAAACAGTGACCTTTGAGCTGCGATTCCTTTGGTTTGAAGCTATTAAGAATTCATTTATGATTAGAACATATCCACCAACTGTGGGAGAGTCACTAATGAATAGGGAGGCAAATTCACAAACTGTGAAGATTGTATTTGGATGGATAACTGCAGCTGTGATATTGAGGTTTTATTTTGTAATTACATCCAACTTCTTGAAGATTAAAATAATTTCACCCACCTCCTGTCCTTTCCCTTTTTCAAATCTTTTTGTCCAGCTTGCATACTGAGTTTAGTGGCTGGCACACCTCTGATTCCAACCCCCAGTCCTGCAGTCATATGTGGTAGGGAGGTCGGGATGCTCATTTTGAGATGTACAGAGAGAATGAGGGAAAACTAGATGCTTCTATGTCACCCCATTGCAAACTGGGATGGAAAGAAGACACTTTCTCTTTTTTTCGTGCCCAAGCCAACAGAGGGGAAGTGACACGGCTCTGGGAGGGAGTAGAGCAGGCTCTGGACCTAAACCAGGGAGGCCACAGACATGGCCTACGCCCACACAGCCACCTGGCCATGCTCAATTAGGACGTTATGGGTGGCATCTTTGGTAAATTGGGTGGTGTGAGGGGCTCTCCCAGGGTCTTATAAACCAGCTTTGCCCCTCACAGGATGTACCAAGTAGTAAAGTATAGACTTTCCATTACATTAGGCTAGCCATCACCCTCATCCTTGACTTGAATATTATCCAAAATTTAACAAGCTCTTGAGCAAGTGATCCTCTCCTAGGATAATAAAAGCTTTGCTTTACTGAACAATTGCAATGTACCAGGCAGTTTACACACATAATTTCCACTAATTCTCAAAATAAGCCCTCTGAGATGAACAATATTTCTCTTCCTAGGTAACAAGGGAAGAACTGAGGCTGAAAGAAAGTTAAGCTACTTTAAGTAACTCTCCCAGCATCTAATGCATGGTAGAGCCTATATTTGACCCAGATCTTCCAGCATCAATCAGTGAACAGACTCAAACACCACATTGTCTAATGCAGTGTGTTTTATTTACTCTTATTAAACCAATGTTGACAGAGAGCCTATATGTGCTGGGCACTCTTATAAGCACTTTTACATATTCACTCATTTACTTATGTTAACAACCCTCACTAAGATTTGTCCCATTTATGCATGAGGAAATATTCAGAGAGAAGTTAACTTACTTTCCCTATTCAGAAAGTGAAGAGTGGCTGCATTTTGAGACCAGAATAAGACCTGGAAGAGAAAGTATCATGTGCATGAAGCATGAGGCATCCCTAAGTATAGAACACAATTCAATGACAAGCTGCTATTAGCCACTATTCGCAGAAGGAAATGCAACCATGCATCGTTTAATGATGAGGATATATTCTGAGAAATGTAATATTAGGCTATTTCATTGTCATGCAAATATCATATTGTACTTACACACACCTTGATGGATAGCCTACTACACAAACTAGACTATATGGCACAGCCTATTGCTCCTTGGTTATAAACCTGTACAGCATGTTACTGGACTGAATATTGTAGGAACTGCAGCACGATGGTAAATATTTGTGTATTTAAACATATCTAGACATAGAAAGAGTATATTAAAAATACAATATTATTATCTTATTGGACCACCGCCATGTGTAGCATTCATTGTTGACCAAAAGGTCATTATGTAGTACATGCTTGTACACTGTCACCAGAATGAAATGCATTCCCCAAACGAAGTTGACAAGGAGGATGCTGGATGGATAAAGACACAGTTTCTGGCATTTGGGAAGTGCATAGCTTTTAACAAGCCATGGTTATTTTTAGGGGAATAAAATGATAATTCTTAAGCACTTACTCTTTTCCAGGCACTCTGTTTGGTGTTTTTCTCACTTATAAGGTAGAAATTAAGATCATCCTCATTTGATAGGGGCTTAAAGAGGACTGAGAACCTCACCTACCATTAGCCAGCTCCTCTGTGGTGGGCTGGAGGCCACACCTGCTGGGTTTGGAAGTCCTACTCCTTATACCATTGTACCAAGCTGTCTTCTTATGATGGGAGAAGACCTTTTTCTGGGGAAGGGCTGGTTACTAGAGTAGGAATACCTCCAGTTCAGTGATCTTATTTGTGCTAGCTTTCTGTTATGTGACTAATGTCCCCCTAGGTATTCAAGTAATTGTCATAGGCCATTGCCATCCCAATACGCTGCTCACTTCTCCTGCCTAGGTCATGGCTCAACATCCCATGGATGGTGGGGTCTGACACCTGACTCCTAACCCTGCTCAGGTGGATGATGCAGGTAGCCCTAGTCCTGCATAGCCAGCCACCGATTCTCCCCTCTATCTGTCCATCTCATCTTGAACACAGTCCCTAAGGCTTGACAGGTGCAGCCACAACCTACTCCCCAGGGTCACTTTCTGATATAATCTCACCATCCTTCCTGAGACAGAGTTTTATCTTTTAATAATAGCATAAAATAATTTTTTAAAATGTGTTACCACCACTCTGGGACTTAAAATAGAGGTAGTTTGGCAGAAATGGAGAAAGCATAGACCAAAACTTGGAGGGCTGTTCCAAAAACTAAGAAGAAAAAGGAAAGGGCCAAGACTAGCCAAACCAATTTCAAAGAACAATCAAGAAAGCAAATAAGTGCAGCATAACATATCAAAAACTCAGACTCAGACTTGTAAGGGGAGAGGGAAAGGGCATTTATTGAAACCTTAAAATCTGTACCCCCATCATATGCCGAAGTAAAAAAAAATAAATAAATATCTGGAAAAATGTTTTTTTCCCAATATAAGTTGTATGAGTTCCATATTTTACATTTTTTAATAAAACTGATTTTACCTAGTAAAAAATTTTTTAAATCCTTTATTAAAAACATTTTTGTATCTTAAAAAAAAAAACTCACAAGATTTTAAATAATAGGATATATAAAGAAACCAATGGCAGAGAGGAGAGACCAGCCCCAGGCCACATATACATGGTGACCGGACAAGTGACAGAGCTGCATTCTATACAATGAGGAGGCTGACTGGCCAGAACTAAAACAGCCATGAAAATAAAATCCAAATCCACCAAAGTCCTTAGTGTAAAAAGCAAAACTTTAAAACTTTTAGAAGAAAATATGAGATTATCTTTCTGATGCTGACATACAAAAAAGAAAATATCTTAAGTAAGCACAAAAAGTGCAAATACTGAAGAAGGAAATTATAAATCTGACTACATTGAAATAGAAAACTTCTATGAATAAAATAAAAAGACAAAGAGAAGACAAACTGGAAAGTCATTCGCAACCCACATAAATAACAAAGAATTGATAATTAGAGCACATTAAAGAATCCACACAAATCAATAAAAGACAAATAAATGGCCCAATAGAAATTTGGGAAATGAATATGGTTAGTAAGGTTAGAGAAGAGGAAACTTAGATGTCCCCTAAATAGAAGAAAATGTGCTCAATTTCACTAAGGAACTTAAGAAAACCAAAACCCATTTCATATGCATTGCAATGGCAAAAATTTAAAAGTCTGAAAATTCCAAGTTCTCAAGAAATGTGTGAAAGTGGGAAATTGCGAGCATTGTCAATGAGAACATAAATTGAAACTGCCATTTTGAGAACAATTTACTGGTCCCCAGTAACACATAGATGCATATAAGCAGGCACCCTGTGATTTTCTTTCGAGATATAGGGCCCAGGCAAATGCTTGGAATACACTAAAAAAAAGTGTGTGCAGATCTTCTCTTCAGCGTTGCGTATAATAGACAAAAATTAGGAATAACATAAACATCTGTCGATAGGAGAATGAATAAATATTAATAAACTGTACTATAGTCACATATGGAATAATCTGGAATAGTAGAGATAAAGGAACCCAAAGCTACATGCATCTCCAGAAATAAATCTCGACATAAAATACTGAGTGGAAATGTAAACTGCAGAAGACTACATTCCTCTCATTTAAATTAAAGGTATTCAAAATAACACTATATGCTGTTTTACAATACATGTAAACATAATAAAACACTGACACTTGGACGGAAAAGTACACACTACCTTTAGGGTAGCAGTTACCCTTGCAGAGGGAAGAAGAAAGAGGAATGGAATCTGGAAGTGTTAAAGGTGCTTTTAAATCTGTATTTTATTGAAAGAAGCTAATAAAACTCTGTTTTATTGAAGGAAGCTAATACAGAAAATGTTGATATTTCTTAGATACAAGTGGCTGATATAGACAAATTTCATGGCTATATAAACATATATAGATATAAAGTGAAAGATATGAAATAGTCTCTGGAAAGGCTCTGGGGTCAATAGTCCTGGGCTAGGACACTGGCTCTACCTTTTTATCTGTATATCCTGACTCAGTTATTTCACAAGAATGACCTCAGTTCCTTT